TTTTATCATATTTTAATATTATTCACCTTTTTGATAAAGACTTTTAAGTCATTCATTTGGGACTAATATTGTTCAGATAATTTTCATGATTTTATCATATTTGTAATATTATTCAACTTTTTTTTTGTTGATGTCTTTTAAGTCATTCATTTGGGATTAATATTGTTCAGATAATTTTTCATGATTTTTATCATATTTGTAATATTATTCAACTTTTTTTTGATGATGTCTTTTTAAGTCATTCCTTTGGGACTAATATTGTTCAGATAATTTTTCATGATTTTATCATATTTGTAATATTATTCAACTTTTTTTTGATGATGTCTTTTTAAGTCATTCCTTTGGGACTAATATTGTTCAGATAATTTTTTCATGATTTTATCATATTTGTAATATTATTCAACTTTTTTTTGATGATGTCTTTTTAAGTCATTCCTTTGGGATTATTGTTCAGATAATTTTTCATGATTTTATCATATTTTAATATTATTCAACTTTTTCTGATAAAGCCTTTTAAGTCATTCATTTGGGACTAATAATTTTCCGCTTATTTTTCATGTTTTTATCATATTTGTAATATTATTCACCTTTTTCTGATGAAGTCTTTTAAGTCATTCATTTGGGACTAATATTGTTCAGATAATTTTTCATGATTTTATCATATTTTTAATATTATTCAACTTTTTTTGATGATGTCTTTTAAGTCATTCCTTTGGGATTAATATTGTTCAGATAATTTTTAATGATTTTATCATATTTGTAATATTATTCAACTTTTTCTGATAAAGCCTTTTAAGTCATTCATTTGGGACTAATAATTTTCGGCTTATATTTCATGATTTTATCATATTTGTAATAATATTCACCTTTTTCTGATGAAAACTTTTTAGCCATTCATTTGCGACTAATATTGTTCAGCTTATTTTTCATTTTATTATATTTGTAATATCATTCAAATTTTTCTGATGAAGACTTTTTAGCCATTTATTTGGGACTAATAATTTTCAGCTTATATTTCATGATTTTATCATATTTGTAATATTCAACTTTTTCTGATGAAGACTTTTTAGCTATTCATTTGGGACTAATATTTGTAATATCATTCAACTGTTTCTGATGAAGTCTTTTAAGTCATTCATTTGGGACTAATATTGTTCCGCTTATTTTTCTTGCTTTTACACCTCATAGTAATAGTCTTGTTTGAATTTCAATAATTATTCATTTTCTTACCAGTATATTATTCTTGCTTTTACATTGATTAGTAACTGTGATTAGCTGCCTACATTTCCTAGATGAAGCTTTGTCACTTATAAAATAATTTTAGACTAATATTTCTTTCATTGTTTTTGTTTTTACACCTAATAATTGTCAAAGTATCTGAATTGCTTAGATTAAACATTTTTACTCATTATTCTTTAGTATATTTTAATGTTATTTTTATTTCTAGTACTAATTGTCTTAAATTGTTTTGACGTTTGAAAACTTGTCACATAAATTATTTTTGGACTAGTGTTTCTTTCATGTTAATTTCAGTTACATTTGAATGTAACCACAAGATCGTTTCAAAAATGTTACTAAGCAGTGTGTACTGGGAGTAAAGAATAATCCTCATTGATTCAAACACCTCTTATTCTCTGAGGCAGCTGCCTTATCAATTGGTCTACAAAGCCTAATCAGTTACACTCATTCAAATCTAAGGAAATAGATTTATTTTCCACTAAGTATCTAATATGTTGCCATCTTTTTTGTTTCTCTAGATGCATAAATAAACCTGTAGCATAATGATGCAAAAAAGTATTTATTTTGAACAAATATTTTTCAACATAATCCACTTCTTTGACAATGCACTTAATCCAGTAGTGAATATTAAACACATAGATCAAACATTAGAGTAAAATTTTCATCAAAATTCACCTACCAACTACAATTCAAGCTATGGACTTACTGATCCACCTTTGTACATACAATAATTCTAATATTATTCAACTTTCTTAAATAAATCTTTGTTATTACCTTTTTTTTTTAATATTTCTTTCATCTTAATTTCTGTTGCTTTTTATTACAACTCTTACATTATCCTTGTACAATGATTAGAAAGCAGCTTTCAAGTATTGACTAGAATAAGACATTGGCAATATTCAACCTCATATTCCTCAAATAGCCTTTGTCTGTTAATGGGATTAAACTGCAAAAATCAACTCATAACAAGCCATACTGATGATTAATGAACATGGAACAATGTTTTGGGAGTTGCAATAAAAAGTAGCTGAAATTAAGATGAAAGAAAAAATTTTTTATTTTAATTGCATTCAATAAGCTTTTTACCTGATGTAAACATACCCAGAATCACCCTCTTTCATTAACTGGACAAATAAACTTATGTCTGAATTTGTATTTGTATCTCATATTGCACAGATACTGGGAAAAGCGCAGTGTACATTCACAAACAAAGGATGAAATTAATATCATAGTGTGGAAGGGAAAACATGAATGCTGTCTGCCATATACTTGATTGTTTATTCAAGGATTCATTTACATGGACTGGTGGGGAGGTGACACATGAGACCTGCTACTTCTGCCATGACAGATTAACAGATGAGATCTTCCGTTCAGCCAGTGAGAACTCCAAACTCTCCTACCACCCCTCGGCTGAACTCTACATCATGATTTGTAGTTCACAACTCCCTAATGGGCAGTCCAGATCTCTCTCAATAGATGGCCAGTACCCCACCAATAAGTAGCATCAGAATTGTGGATGTTAACAAGGTTGTGGGTTTTGTGTGTATTTTTAGGTGAAAGTGTGTGTTTAATATATAGACAAAGATAGAAGAAGCATGCAAAAACAAAACTATGGATGTTTATTCCTTTTATCTTGATTGTATGGAAACAAAATTAAATGTCTATTGAGTATGTGAGTTTTTCTTTTTAGTTCAGAAGTAATTTATGGGAAGTGAGGATAAGAACAGGTAAAGGCAGTCTCAAGCTGACTTGGTCAATGACCAAATCACTACTTCATGAGTAGAGTTGCTAACATGTCCAAACAAGGTCATTGGAAAGAGAAAGATCCTGTCCTTTCCGGCAGTGGGGTCATAAAATTGCACACATGACCAGAAACCCTTTCCAGTTTCTTTATAATTTGCATCATGGGAAAATTAATTAATTTTTTTTTAATCATTATTTTACTGGCTTAAATTTAAGCTAGCTCCTGCAGTGGGCTCTTGATTGAACCTTCATCACAATAGGTAGGAAGGAGTAGATGCAATAGGCAACAATAAACTACAGAAGAACTCAAAACTGATCGCTGCATTTAAGTATTGCATTTATATTTAAGCTTACCTTTTAAAAGTTCAACAATATTTCCAGCGGAAGGTTCTTCATTGAGCCTTAATTACAATAGGTAGGAAGGAGTAGATGTGATAGGCAACAATAAACTACAGAAGAACTCAAAACTGATCACTGCATTTAAGTATTGCATTTATATTTAAGCTTACCTTTTAAAAGTTCAAAGATTAAATTAATTTAAAGACAATTTGATGTACGTAGATCCTTATTTTCTGTACAAACAATTATTTTTATTTTCATGGGTGACTCCTTATTGTTTAAAAGTAAACATAGAAAAGACAATTTTTGTATATATCCAAGGATATCACCTTGGATATATCCATTAAAACGTTTTTAAGAGAAAAGATAACATTTGAATAATTTGTTCTTCATCCTCTGAAACAATTTTTGAATATTTTTCTTAAAATTGCCACTTATCTTTAAGATATATAAGATAACATTTGTTTACATACACAAGTAGTATTAGTAGTAATAATATTATCTTGAATTTTCATTATTCCAAATTTATGTTAATTTTAATGGCTTTAAAACTTATCTTTTATTTTTTAATTGTCTTAGAGAAACTTTTTTTGCTTTTCATCAGCATGGGTGGTGCTAATTTCCCTGAGAGTAATGTATTGTGTTTGCTTGATCTAATGTTTTTCATCAAAATGAATTTGCTAAGTCTGATACTAGAAAAATTGGTTCACTCTGACGTGCTAAACAATTTTTCTTCAATTTTTCTAGAATCTATCTTGCACCATTTTAGTCTATCATTCATCTGTGCATTGAATATTGGTCGTATACTTGGTCTGGTACTTCTATGTATCTAGAGATTCTTGACTAAATCAAAAGAATATGCAATGTTATTGGTCCTGACCTGGTATCTTAGCTTCAATCACTTTCCCATTGCTATAACAGTTTTCATGTACCTTTTCTATATTTTCATGGCAACTGTTCTGATGAGTTTTCCTCTTTGGTACCTAGATATCATGAATTTAAGTCTAATATTAGATTGGCGACTAGGTTTCATCATTTTTCTGTTGAAATTGCTAGATGTAACTGTAAGTTCTATGCTAACACTTTCTCCTTCCATGCTTTTCACTTGTGGAACTTTTTCCAGCTTCTTGCTTTCCAGTCAAATTTGATCTTCAAAAATTTAAATGTGACGTCAGTCATCATCTTGTCTTTTTTAATCCTGTTCTTTTATTGTCTTTTCCCCCTCAATGATGTTTACACAGTTTATTTCACTCTCATTAACCCTTTGTGTCTTGGTGGCTTTATTGCTTTGCATGGGATAAATTGATTTAGAAAAAAAAAGAAAAAAGAGAGAGATGAATCATTGTCAGTGATTATTAATTTCTGATGGTTATTTCTTTTATCTTAATTTCAGTCACTTTTCATCTTAACAGCTGGCATCATTTCTGATCAATGCTCTTTACTCTCTGTTTGGAAAAGTAAGATGTCTGCATTCTGTTAAAGAAAGTTCTTTTAAAGACATACCACAATACAGTAGTTCAGCACAGGATGATACCGCTTTCAAAACAAAGTCATCAAAACATACATTTTCTTTTTTACAAAAAGAAAACTAAAGATTTAATCAACTTGTAAATAATTTATATAATAAATTTCAAAACCCAATGCTAAACAATTGTACAGAATCCTATAATGAACAGAAATTATGCTGTAGCAAATTGTGGTTTATCTCCATCATCTGATGGTTTTACTTCAACATTTTCATCTTCTTCTTCTGGATCATCTTCAATTGCTTCAAATTCTGGAAGTCGGTATGTCCTAAGGATTGGATCTCTGGATGGCATCCATTCTGGTATGATTTTACTGTGAATTCTCCAATGTCCATACAAATTGGAGATGTGATTCTCCAAGACAACATATTCTAATACATCTTTTACTACATTCTCACTGCCATACATGAGACGACCAAATCTGTCATAGATGGCAAGACACTGAAAGTAAAAAAAGAAAAAAAAAAGAAAATGTCTTTTTCGAATCATTTCTTTTAGCAACATTAAAAGAAATTTTCTAAGATAATGGATTTTATTTTCAACACTTCAACAGATGTTTATCACTTCAACATTATTTTTAGTGAATACTCATACTTGAGTAGATGCCCCATTTATTTATTAAACAGTATATTTATTTATTTTTATTTACCAGCCTGAATATTCAAGAAATCTCAAAGAAAAATATGAGCTCTCTGACAGGATTCAAACCAGGGGATATCTTGAATATTTAGGCCATGATTAAAAGAAATATTTATAATGTATAAACAAGACATCCTATTAAGATAGTCTATAGAATCATCATGAGATTTTACTGAAATATTTTTAACAGATCCACTTTAATATTGGAAGTTGTTGATTCCAATCCAATGGGAGTGATCACTAAAACTATCCCCTCCCCAAATTTATAGACAAATCATACAGATGCATGTTGGGATTTCTTTCTAACCAATAAAAATGGACCACTTCTCAGTCATATTTTTGTTCTTTCTTGCCTTGAAGTCAGAATGCTACAACTGCTTGACTGTATCTCTTTTGTGTGTTAACACCATTCGTACTCTGTGAACTTTTCCCCTTATTACTTTTGCTTTTCCTAGTTTTGACATGCATATATATTGTTTGCTTAGTATTATTTTACTGTTCTTTTTTCTTCCTTTTCTTATTGTTTACTAAAAACTTTGTCAATTCCGTTTATTCAGCATTTTGCCAATTACTTGACAGAAGTGAAAATATTCTGAATAAAATAAATAACTCAAGAGAAGCAGAATGCGTTAATAAACATGGTAAAAATTTCTCCTCACAAAGCTTTTAAGGAACAATCTTACTAAAGTCTCACATAGAAACAAATGCAAAAATATCTACAAGGAAAATTTGAAGAAAAATAATAATTTGAGACTTTCAAAACAAAGAGAATATTATATAGCTTAAAAGTTTTAAATATGCTACAGAAAATTTAAATATGATTGAAATGATTAAAAATTTAAAAACCTACAAAATATATGCAACTATAAATAATTTTCTTATATTCCTTTATTAATTCTAACAGTGAAATGACTTAAATAATAAAATAAAATTAAAACATCGATGTAAAATTAATATATCATGGTTATCAGTCATCCATTCTAGTAGTTGTCTCCCTTGTTACTGAATTACTGAGTTTGATAATTGGAAGCAAATTGTAAACAGGAGGTTTATAGCAAAGAAGGTAAGGCCTCTGCAGCCATCAAATTGTTTGAGAGCTTCATTCAGAATCTGTATTTGCTTTTATCTGATTTGATGTTAGGCTCGAATCTCTCTTAACTTCTCACCTAATTTGTATCTGGTCTTAAGATTTTGACCAGGTGTGTATAATGATGATTCTATACATACTGAAGATATGGAAAAATATCGGATGTAAAGACAAACTAACAAACTGATTACACCAAATTACATTTATGTATATGCAAAATAAAGATTTAATCAAATATTATTTTAGTATAATAATGAAAATGTTTGCTGAATCAGTTAAATGCAAATATTTTAATGTACTTCAATATAAATACTTCAAATATTTGAATGACATCTAATAAAATATTTTTTCTTGTGCTAAAAATGCTTTTTACAAACTTATTCATAATGTTCTCTTGGAGATATGTGTAAGACAAAATTCTATTAGATTGCTTAGGAATGCTTAATCAAACAGTAAGACATTTTAAATGGACTAATCACAAAGATGTTCAAAATTGCAACTAATTTTTTCTTTTTTCTTTTTTTAAATGTTTAGGCTTAACCAGGAAAGAGAATAAACTAACCTGTTGGGTAAACAAACGTACTGTTACTTGTGCATAGAGATTCTCTTTACTCATCATATCTGTAACTCTGACATGAACAACACGAGGAGGCTCGATAGAACCGACAAAATTCCACTTAAATGTTTTCAATTCAAGTCCATGGGTAAGTTCCTATAAAGAAAAATCCATTATTCTTCAATCACATTTAGTAAATCTCAAAAGTCTATTGAAAAAATTGTACAACACTTACAGGAGAAAAAAAAAAGCATTTTTTAATGCTATGTCCATTCAAGACATAGAAAATTCACAGATTTATTTTCTTTATTATCTGTGAATTGCCATGACTTTTTGGGAAAGATAGTGGAGTAGTATTCTAAGACATTTCATATCACTCTTTCTCAATATTACACATTTGGTCTGAGTTAGAAACTGAAAAATGCTTTTCCCAAGAACATCATACAGAGTTTTCAATGTGAAATCCCGAAAGATTAATATTTGTATTGGGATCAATGAAAATAGTTTTTTAAATATATTTTTAATGAAAAACTCTTTCCTTTTAAAAAGAAAATATCATGTCTAGTTTACTTGAATGAGCAGTTATTCAAATACGTGCATTTATTTCACAACTTTCCTGTCTTATGTATAAATACAAAAAGTAGGGGGAAATATCACTTTCTGCTGTTAAGCGGATAAAAATGACTTTCATTATGACTTTATTTAATATTTAATTTCAGATACATTTTGTGGTACCAAATTTGATGAGATGTTAAGCATTTTGCTAGAACATTTTCCAACAGACATTTTTATCCATAAACTTTTAATCTAGTCTTTTCAACAAAGATTTCTTAGGGTTGGTTACAATCAATGCTCAGCAGATGTGCCAAGAAATATTACAGTCATTTTATGAGTATGCATCTTATAACTCATTGGAAGGTCCTTGGGTCATGACATCAGTAGCAGCAATGGGTGTGTCAAGGGGAAGATATCCCTAGAGAGCCTAACCCTCTGCAAGCTGGTTTTGAATTCAGAATTGTCCTTCTCCTTAGCTGGTTGTCCTACCCTTCTAAATCTAAAGTGTCCAGTCTACCCTACAGCTTCCACCCAGAATAAATGTGTTCAAGGACATTAGTACAAAGGAAACAAAAACAACCTTAACCAGAAATTGATCATCATTCAAAGATTCCATTATTTGCTCCAATAATCATTATGGCAATTGCATTTCTACATTTTTTATTTTTAAGCATGCATAAATAGACATTCCATGTATATGTGCCTGTCTGCATCTGTGTAATTAAACGTCAGTATTTCAATGACCAACCATCAGAATTTGATTTTGGGATGTTGGTTGGGCTTAGATATTTTCAGTACCCACTCATATATACACTCATTAATTTTTGTTTTAAATGCCTCATATTTCAGATAGATCTTTTGAAACTTGGAAGCACTAATTATTTTTTTAAATTATTATTACCTGTCCCATAATAGTTGTTACATTTGAAGACAAATTTCATAAATAAATTATGGGACAGAGGGAGTAATTTTTTTTTTTTGTTTAGATCATCAAGTAAAACTGAAATATATAATAGCAAATTGAAATGAAAAATATATTTTAGGAGTTTTCAAAACCTGAGAGTTGTTACACTTTGAAAAATAATTGACTTGATTTTTATTTACGTTTTTTTTTACCAGTTTTCAGTTTTGATTCAACTGATTGATGTTTAGTTTTGTGTTTCAATAATTCAAATTAAACCTGAACAACAATATGTTTTTTACAACGGTAAAAATTTTTTTAGAAAATGTAAGACTCATTAATAATTGACCAAAAACAAAAAACAGCAGTCTTATATGAAAACAATTTTATTATTAAAAAATAAAAACAATAATAAAAAAGGGAATAAATTAAAGCAACATACTTACAGGATAAGCTTTCTCAGTGACCAACTCATGCAAACGTTCTTCATTTTCCTTTACACTAGAAAATAAAGACATATTTATGTAAAGAAATGCATTCTTATAAAATGGCTAAAAAGTGTACTTGAGAAGAAGAAATATTTGAAAGGGTCAACATTTTTGTTTAATATTTTGACATTTATTTGAATCATCATCAGAAAAGCACAAGTAAAAACAAGTAATTTTATTTTTTTTATTAGAAAGTTAAAAATGTTCCATTATACAATAAGGAATAAAAGACATGTAAGCATAAATGAGAAAATAAAGACAATTAAGTAAACTCTAACAAACTGGGATAGAAAGGCGCAAGAGGATAACACTCAGAAAACAGCCTCAGTCTGCCTACTCTATGTGAAGGGATTATTGGAAAAAATACAAAAGATCTGTGGTCTATATAACAGCCATAACATGAGGGGAAATAGAAAAATCAGGTGTAGCTGACAACATAAGGAGAGAAAAGGGAGATTACTGCCCACTGTGGGATGAGGTTGAAATAATAGACAGAGAACATCACTGGAAAATACTTAAACTTAAGGAATCAGTGCATATGCTTGGCTACAAAAATCACCTAAGCCAGACAAGCATAGAAATGAATGCAATATGGAAACCAGAGTGCTAGAGAAAAACAATAATAACAACAAAATTGTAATATGAGCTCTGGTAAAAAAAATTAAGGTTACTGAGACATTAGGTTTATAAGTCCCCAAAATTCATACACAAATGTATTCAAGGACACATAACCCAGTTGATAAAAGCAGTGGTTGAATACATGGAGAGTAAAGTTAAAGGGAGATAACTGATACTGAGACATCCGGAAGAGACATGGCATGTAAAACTAGAACACTCTACCCTGGTGGATGAAATGAAAGATTCAGTTCGAAATTCCAATCACCTGAAGAAGGTTGGAGCGTACAACAGCTGAAGTATCATGACTATGGCAATGAAGATGAACAATATAAATGATGTAAATAGTTAAGTAAAAGCTCCAAAATTTGAAAACGGATCAAAGACAACTTCACAAAATATCTTGAAAATATCTTACTTACTTTTCAAGTAATTTATGTGCTTCCATCACAATGTCTTGAGCTTCTTGGGCAAATTCTTTAGTGTCAAAATCAGCCAAATATTTCTTTATTTTACGGACAGACATGAGTGATGTGCCTTTTTTCTCCAGCCCTGTTAGCCTTTGTTTAGCACCCTAAATATTTTTATAAAGAAAATAACAAATATAAAGAAAACTGATACAAGTTTTTTATCCTGATATTAATATGTTTAAGTGATTGCTATGAGAGAATTTGTGTCAATGTCTGGATTCTTGCCAAAATTGAAAACTCAAAAATACAAGTATTGATTATTTTCAAATTATGATTATTAGGAAACCAATATATATTTGAAAAGAGTTGTATTTTAAAATACTGTTTCCTGCCATAGAAACACCTTTGTCAAAGAATATTTAGGGAAAAGCTAATAATAATTAGCTGCTGATTTATCTGTATTCACATAATGTTCAATGATCAAAAACAACAACATTTTGATTTGTAACCATAATTTAATCATTTAAAATCATACACTACTTTGATTTTTTTTAATAGACAAAATGAATGATAGATATTTTTCAAGAATTTAAAAAATACCTCTTTAATCCTAAATTTTGAAAGTACTTTTTTTATTTTTAAAATTTTCATATATTTTTCAATTAGAATAAAAATATTTTAAGTTTATAAAAAATATCTTATTCACATTACTGTCTTGTTACAATAAAAGGTAATAAAAATTCAAAGAATGCTAAATTTAATTTTTATTGTTTTAAATAAGTTTAAGTCATCAATATTATTTGAAAAAAGAAATAAATACAACTTAATGAAATAATTGCAAATGGTAAATTTTTTTTTTTAAATCTCAAGTAAATATTCGGAAGGTAATTTTAACTAAATATTTCAATATACTGGTGTATTGGTATGTCACTTAACTGCTTGGTTCAACCCATTTAACTTGTTTTATTAAAATTTTAAAACTTAATGAAATAACTTTGAAGATTAATTTTGGTTTTAATACCCAGAAAATGACAGGAAGTTAATTGTTAAAAAAAATAAAAGAAATACTTTTGCCTACCTCATATGTTAGACTATTATTAATTCAATATTTTTGGAATCACAATCTAACCTGCTATAATGATAACATATCAAGTTGTCAAAAGATAAATTTTATTAAGTCTCAAGCAACAAAAAATTTAGTTAACCATAGTAAAAGATTCAACAAAATTTAGTTACAATGGATTTTGACAAAATATTACTTGAAATATATTGAATATCTGTTTCCAGTCAACACCTCAAAATAGAAAGGTTAAAAAAAATGCTTAAATTTATACACATTTCATCTGACTATATATGGATGACCAAACATGATAAAATAAACAATGTTTGAGGTATGTCACCATAAGATAATTAATAAGCTTGTATGCTAAAAAATTAGATGCCAATCAAAAAAATAAATGATTCTTTTAATGATCAAATTATTTTACTGGTCAGAAAATTATTGGAGTCTACCTTTTTTTAGTAATGGGAGTGACCAAGTCTGTTATATTCACTTACACAATTCACAATTTACTGATAATAAGTAAAAAGAATCTCTAGTGAGCTAGGGTCCCCTACATTGTAATAGGACATGACATTAAAAGAAGAAAAAAGAAAGAAACATGAATGGAAGTTTGGCTGTCGGATTCATGTAAAACATCAGTCCAGAAAGTATTTTTTTAAGCAAAAACTAGGAAATTCTTTTTGTAGATCATTTATTTAATCGATTTTGAAAATAAACTATTTTTAATGAAATTTAATTACATAATCTTTTGTGTAAGTAAACAGCTTCCATCTATTCAGATTGAATAATGTGTAATAATAGCAGAAACAATTTTAAAAACTTTCTAAAAATAAAGTGTTTCCATTTATAGTTTATTAAAACATTATTATAAGAAAAAAAACATTTCAGGTGTTTTGAGGAACAGAGATAATAAAAAAAAAACTTTTAAATTGATTAAATTCCTTAAAAATCTTAAAAATATTAATGTCAATATTTTTTTCCTTTAATTCCACAATATACTTTAACATATAAAACTAAAAATGTAAAAAAAAAAAAATCATTAGTTTATATTTCCATTTTAAATTTTTAGATTCAAAGTATTAGCACTTAAGAGGTTAATTTTAGAAAAAAAATTAAATTGGTTTAAATTCTTCAAGGTTGGGGGGCGGTCAGATTGATATTTACTGTGATATCATAAAATTAAAAACATTGTGTGGGTGTGCTATAAAAAAAATACATTTTTTAAAAATATATTTTCAGTCATTTTTTTTTTAAAAAAGTAATCTTTTCATAAATAAGTTCAGTAATGAAGGAATAAATATAAAAAGTTTTATTCAAATCCATTAATCAATTTTTAATTGATTTTTTTTTAAATTTAAGTGGATGTTTGAAAATGTCAGAAGTGAATATTTTCCAATTAGTTTTCTACCTAAGATTTTAGGTTATAGATGTAAACATACATTAAAAAAAAAAACCAACTATTTCCATATGTAAGAAAACAATTTTGATATCAGAATTTTTTACAAATTTTCTTCTTTTTAATGATATAAATTTTAACGAAAATTGATTAAATCTTTCTGTGTGATTGGCTATTTTTTTTTGGTCAAGGAATGCTCAATTCTTTGACAATCTTATCATCATTGCTAATTTTATATATCTGTTTGCTTTAGAATGACGAAAGCAACAAATAAAAGTGATATTGACGTTTATACTTTATCCTGAGGGTCATCGGTGGACTTGTGTGTCAAACAATAGCATTTAGTCTCATACTGTTAACCCAACCATCAGGGTATAAAATGCAGGTTGGTTTTCAGACATGTTTTGTTTTAGATGAAAAGCATGCCTTATGTATCAGTATATAGGATTTTCTTTCTTTTTTTTCAATTTTAAATGATGGTCATAAATTTAGGTGAAATAATGTTAGAAAGTATTGAACTTGAACCATTGTAAAACAAACTTTCACCATATAAAATCAAGCATTTGGAATTCAATCAAGCATTTATAAAGTTCACAACAAAGAAAGAGTATATATATCTGTGTCACATAATAGTTGAAACATTTAATGTATGAAATGTGTATGCAAAAGTAACAACTATTATGAGACAGAGATAGGAATATTTATTGGTTTTACTTACCTTTGTTGAAACAAGTGAAGATTTACCATCTCCCTCAGGTGGAACATAGGCTTCAAAAATCCCCCCTTAAAGAAAGAAGAAAGAAAGAATACTTTATCAAACTATAAAAGAGACAATTTTTTGTCCTGCAGTTTGCATGGGCGTATGTAATGCACATTTTTTTTAATCAGTATCACCCCATGCAAGCCAGTAAAGCCACAAGGGTGTGGAAGAATTAGGAACAGAAACATTAATATCTGTCTATGTTTCTGAGATGAGGTATTATGTACACTATTTACATTGTTCGGATTATCATCCTCATCTTTGTTGCCATATTTCTCACAATATTTCGGCTGTTGTATGCTCCGGCCTTCTTCAGGTGGTTGCAAAAGTCATAAGTGGCGACCTAAAGACATTAGATCAAGGATTGGTCAGTATAAGCAGTACCCTACAATGTAACAACTACCCTGGGTACATGGCAGCAGCCCCAATAAACTGGGATAGGTGGGTACAAGAGGAGGACAACAACACTCAGAAAACAGTCTGCCTACCTTATGTGATCGGAGATCGGAGGTTATCGGAGAAAATACAAAGGATCTGCAGTCCATATAACATCAGGACAACCTTCAAAAGCTGGATGACACTTTGCAGATACCTCTCCCAACTAAGACTGCCCCCATAGACGAGAACATGACTAAAGACTGTGTGTACACCATCCTGTGCAGTTGCAGAAAGAAATATAAAGGGGAGACATGCTGCCCCATTAAGGTAAAGCTTCAAGAACACCAAAAAGCTGTAACATGAGGGGAAGTGGAAAAATCAGGCATGGCTGACCATATATGGAGAGAAAAGGGAAATCACCGCTCTCTGTGGGATCAGGTTGAAATCAAAGACAAAGTACATCATTGGAAAATTTGTAAACTTAAAGAATCAGCACATATGCTAGACCACAAAAATCTCCTCAGCCGACCAAGCATAGAAATGAATAAAATATGGGAACCAGTAATAAGGAGTGCCAGAGAAAAGTGACAATAACAACAAAAATTGCAATATGAGCTCTTGTAAAAAACATGTAATGATAACAGCAAAAATTGCAATATGAGCACTGGTAAAATTGGTTGCTGAAGACATTAGGTTTATAATACCCACATGGCACAGTGGATAAAGTTGTTAGATCCAGTGACAGGATCCAAAGAGTGTGAGTTCAATACCTGGTTAAGAGAGAGGGGAATTAACAGGAGATAACTGATAATTGACATTCATTAGACATGGCACGTGGAACTAGAACAGTCTACCGAAATAAAGCAAAATAAAGGGTTAAGTTCGACATTCCAACCACCTGAAGAAGGCCGGAGCATACAATGGCCAAAATGTTGTGAGAAATATGGCAACAAAGATGAGGATGATAATCCGAACAATGTAAATAGAAACATTAATAATAAGCAGGAAAAGGAAAGAGTAATCAGGAGGACAGTAGATAGCAATTGACATTGCATTTAAATTTTTACAGATTGGCTGGAAAGCATGGAGCTAGAAGGGAGTCCCATAAGCAAGAAGTGCAAGAAAAAACACTGTTAGCATAGAACTTACAGCTACATCTAGCCATCTAAGATAAAATCTAGATGCCAGTCTGGTGTTGCACTTAAATTCAAAAGTTTAGGAACCACTGCAAATAACTCATCTAAACAATTACCATGAAAGTATTTATAGAATAGCCACAGGGAGGCAACCTTATGGTAGAAGGTTTAAGAAGGCAAGTCACTTTCCTGGAGGTTAGCATCAGCCATGCTGATAGAAGGCCCTGCAATGAGAGAGGATGAACCATTTCAGCATTGATTAGGGCCTCTAGGAATTTCCTAAAAAGATAATAGGCTGATAGTTGGAAGGGCCAGACAGTTCACCTGAATTCTTAAAAACTGGTACAACAGATGATGACTTCCAGCAGGCAGAAAAGCAGGAAGCAACAAAGCATTTATTATACAGTTTAGAAAGAACAGGAGCCAGTTCAGATGCACATTTCTTAATGACTATTACAGGGATACCATCGGGTCCACATACTTTGTGGTGATCTAGATTAGAGATGATAGTAGAAACCACAGGGGTTATATGCATATCACTCAACAAAGAGTCAGTTGGAAATTAGGCAGAGATACTCCAGATGAGTCAAGAATAGTGTTTAAGGAGAACTGACAGGTGGAGCATTATCAGCAGAGGATTTTAACACCTCAAATTGATAGAAAAGAAGAGGAATATACACTTATTTAACACCCTATTATAGAGCTACCAGTAACCACGAGAGCCGAAGTTGTTAGATGCTATGCAGTGCTTCATTCTCTTGGTGGACAGGTATTTATCTCCTTCAAGGACTCATTTACATTTATTACAAGCAGCAATAAATAGTTGCCTGTTGTGATGTGAACTGTCATGCTGGTATAGCTGAAAATAGTGCTTCCTGTGTGCTATAGTGGCTGAGCATGTTGGTATGAACCATGGAGATGATTGAGGTTTCATCTGGTATTCCCAGAAAGGATGAAAGTGTCCATGCTGGCTATGGCCCAAGAAGAAACCTTAGTGGCTCAATTCTCAATTGGGAGGTTAAAGATGTCAATCCAAGGGGCATCACAAAGAAAATCACAGACTGAGTCCCAATCAGCATGCTGGTAATGGAAAGAGGTCTTATGGATAGGAGGTTTATGTTTAATAGATGATTGGAACGGAATGACAATAGATACCACAGAGTGGTCCAAGTTGACAAGAGAGCAGTGTGGCGAAGCTCAGCAAGAGTGAGGAGAGGAGGTAAGGAATAAAACAAGTAGAGAAGCTTTTTGCTTAGTTTTAATATGCATATGTCCCTATTGTGCATCTATGTGACTTACATGTGCTTGTATTATTTAATATACACACAAGCACACTCACACTGATTTATCGGTTGGCTGGTTTAGCAGTATATCAAACTCTATGGGTTATTAAATGCTGAAATCTAAAAATTTTCTATGCAATTTTTTTTTTGGGGGGGGGGACATAACAATGGTTTAGTGATACAAGTTTTACTAATTAATCCATAGCTAGGAGGAGAAGAGGTGAATTCATAAACTTTTCCAAGGGTATTTGTGTGTAAGTGAATATAACAAACCCAATGGGAAATGGAACGACTCAATTACACCATTCACAAATTCAAGCTGGTATTCCCAAGCAGTCACCCATCTAGGTACTGACTAGGCTCAACATTACTTAACTTTGGTGATTGTATGGGAACCAATGTTTCATCATGATATGGCCATAAGGCCCTGATTGAGTTATACTAGTGAATGGAAAGTGGTTAGTGACTTGAGGCATTGAGAGATTTGATAATTCTGAGAGAAGGAATAGAGAAATTAATAGGAGAAAAATATGGAAGAGTGGTTAATTGAATTGGAGTCTGATGGAAAAAAAAATTCTGGTCTAAAAATATTAATTTAAACTCATAAAATACTTATAAAGAGAGTCTCAAAGTAGATTTAGTAAGATACAGTATAAGTGACAGCTCCCACCCTGCCATCACCACCCAACACCATGATGACAACCAAGTTGACATAACATGACAATTGATTTTGCCAAGAGTTTACAGGTTTTTGATCACTCTAGGCTTTGTTTATTTAGAGACCAGTTTAGAGACCTGACTTGCGTTAATTTCATTGTAATTTTGGTAACTTAAAAATCCAGCCCAAATCGAAAAAGTACTTTATGGTTGGCCATCTGCATTTTCTAACAGGAGGTTCTTTATTTTAAGAAGCTAATTAATCATGTCCAGTTTGGGCCCAGATGCCTATAAAAGCAAAATACACATGCACAGAAATCAGAGAGAGACTGTAGAGAGAGGCCAGTTGCCCGGAAACATGAATGTGTATGCCTCACAAAGAAGATGCTCTCAGAGGATCCCACCCAAATCTTTCATCTGCCATAGAAGACAATTACTGCAAAGACATTAACATACATTTCTCAGTGCCTCAAATTTTAGCAAAAAAGCAACTGGAACAAATTAGCTGTTGTATGATTTTTTTTTTTTTACATTTCATCCAGAATTAAATTGTTGATAATTTTTCAATAGCATCGTTTTTTATTTGTGGGCATGCACATCCATCTTTCAGCAAGATTGTCCAGCACTGAAGAAACAGTACAATTGAATTTTTGCTCAGATTAATAAAAAATCTATGGTTTGTGAATTCCCTGTGATTAGGCACAACAAACTGAATCCTGGTGAAGGAAACAAGCCACCTGCACTAAAGAGTATATCAAACCTGCCCCCCCTTCCATTATGGTATTCAACACCTAAACAAAAGCATTGCATTATATACAGACAAAATTTGACTGAGTTTGAAATAATATATTCTCTTCCCACTAAGTTTGGACAACCCTTAGCAATAATATTGAAATTGAAAACAAAAAAAAAATAAGAAAAAAAAGGGGGAATTTTTTAAACTATAAAAATTCAGTTAATTATATTTTTTAACTTTTCAGAAATTATTCAGTAATAAATAAAATTGTTTTTGACATTGCTTAATTTTGATTGGTTTGCTTGAAAAAAAATATGGAAAATTATTTCAGATGGGGGGGGAAGGGGTAATTTTTGTAGATTAGCATTCATTAGACCTTCCTGAAGCCATGACATTTGGCAGAATAAAAAAATATTGAGTTTTTATCAATTTAGAAGTGGGCAGTACTGTTCATAATATAAATCCAGTATCAAATTAATTTTTTATCCGTTTTTATTTACAAATGTCAAGTTTGAATTATTGACATCTGCATATGGCTCATGATTTTCTGAAATAGAAATGTCAGTAATTGTTAACCTTCATGTTTGAAAAAATACAGTGTATCAAAATGTTGGTTTTACCCTTTGACACTGCCATTATTTTAACTACCTTCACTCCTTGGCAAAGTTTATTGTTTTAAAAAGTGATGATCAGAATTTTGATAAAACCTAAATATATGTGAGTGAATTTATATATTTTCTTTGTTCTTGAGAATTGACAACAAAAATAATAAACACTATTTATTAGATTGTTTATTTACGCTATTTATTATATTGTTTATTGGAATGGTTGGCAAAACATTGGCTAATTGCCAATCAATTCAAACTTTATAAAACGGTAAATAATAAGAATTTCCTTATAGCTGATTCACATATTTTAATAATTTAGTAAATGCTTATAAATTAATAAATAAAAAATTGTTTTCATATTTATATCTTTATAAATTGGTAAATGATAAATATTGCATTGCATTTAGTTTTAATTCTATTAGTTTTTAGAATGTTGTAAATATAAAATTATACTTGTAAATAAACAACGTAATAAATAGTGTTTATTGTTGTCAATTCTGAAGAACAAAAAATGTGTAAATTTACTTTTATCATATGTTTAAGTTTTAGTCCAATCACTTTTTAAAACAATAAACATTGCCAAGGAGTGAAAGTAGTTAAAATAATAGGTGTCAAAGGAAGAAACGGTCCTTTTCACACATTTTTTTTTACAGGCACAAAGGTTAAAAATTGCTGAAATGTATATATCCAATTGTTCTTTAATTAAATACTTGTTTCAAATATTTTCTTAAAATAAAACACATAAAAATTTATATATCCATTTATTCTTTATTTAAAAGAAATCATTTTATAAAAATAAAATAAATAGTTTTGCCAGAACGTATTTATCAAGAATAAAACAACAGTCGTACATAGCTAGCAATGATGTAAACTGTTTCAAACTTGACATTTATAAATAAAAATTAGTAGGCTACAGATAACTATTTAAAAATGAGGGAACAATTTGACACTGTATTTATATCATGAACAGAACCCCCACTCTTATAAACTGATAAAAAAAAAAATAGTCAATATATTTTTATTCAGACAAATGTGACTTGAGGAAAGGCCAAGAAATGAAAAATGATTCCCCCCACCAAAAAAAAATTTTTCCCTATTTTTTTTATGCATTTTTTTCCTTGTAGAAAAATTTTAGTTCAGTCATTGAATTGAAATGTACATGCACTCACAAAAAAGCAAACTTATAAGCACACACAACTCAAATAAAATTGAAATGGACATCTGTGTCATGTGAGCTAATTTTGCTTTTCGTCTGGCAAAATATAAGCTGAGATGTGCAGCCCTTTGACATCAGTTTTTATGACTTTTTATATTTAAACAATATATTTTCTAATATATGTAGTATTTTAAATGGATGTGTGTGTGTGTGTGTGTGATAATGGATGGCCACTTGGAATGAGAAATCAGAGAGCCAAGTTTGAATTCCAGTTGTATTCAAATTTGTTTTATTCACTTAGTTATGAATCCATCTCCACTCCCACCAGCTATGAGTTAAATAGTAAAGCTGAGATCTGGAAAAGTCATTGTCATTTTCCAAATAAATTGTTAATGCAATATTCAATTGGAAAAAAACAAAATAAAATAAAAAGAATTATTCTTACAATCCAAAATATTTTGGCTTTAAATAACCATAAAATACAAATCAACCAATAGACAACAATCAACAATTTAGATTTTAAATTTTATCATCTTGCTCTCAGTGAAGTGACCTGTATAAATAAATGTGAACTCAATTACAACCATGAACTAATGTCACTAACATTAATTAGTGCACCACAAAAAAACACACACAATTTTGGTAAGATGTTTGTTTTTTGATGACAGACATCTAGAAATTCAACTCAAGCAAGCACAAGAGAACAAAAGAAAAAAAAATGCCTGTTGTTATTTATGTTAAGATTATCCATTATTGTAGGATTAATCTAAAAAGCGAAAGATATTTGACAAAATCAAAAGATAGGAAATATTTTAAAGAAAAAGTAATCCAGTTTTATAAAAGCAAATTCTTTATCTGATTACAGTGAAATAAGATTTGATTATAAACAAAATATAAATCTATAAACTAAGTTGTAACTATCACATTTGAAAAGAAAAGAACTTTAACTACATATCTCAATAACTGTAAGTTCCATTTCATCTATACATGTTTTTATACTTTCCCTACAAAATTCTATTTTATAATTTTTTATATTCTGATTAAATATTAAGGGCGTACAAATACATTTTAATCTTTGAATTAATTATCTCCCTTAAAACTGTTTCAATGAACAAAAATCATATTACAATTACGAATTCTGGAACAAAAATATGACATGAAAGGAACCCGGTTAAGAATTAAACATGACATTATTAAAATTAACTTTCTTGAGAGAGACTTTGCAACATCTGCAAGAATAAAGACTAAAAATATCAGATGAATAAATTATTTCTTTAAATGATGTCAAACTAAAATGTTGCATTTTGGTATAAGAAGTGTGGTAAAAATTCAACATACTTTCTTTTTTTAACCTGTTAGAAATAGAAATAAAACTTACACAAAAATAAATTCATCGTTAGTGAATTTTGCTTTCATCAATAAATATTTTAGAGAAGAATAACAATAAATTAATCGAAAAATGTTAAATTAACTTCCAAGTAGCAAAGCAAAGTTAATTTTTTAGTGAATTTTGCTCAAAAAAGTGTTTTTGCAATAAACAATATAGTAGATCCAAAGAAAAGAAAATAATTAAATCTTATACTTGTTTCAATTAAATAAGTTAAAGTTATTCCAGATGTAAAAAGCAAACAATTCTGCAGCAACAAACTACCATAAACTCAAACTACAAATTGTTGATCCCAATTTCACAAAATTTGAAATAGGCCTCAAGGTATTTGTACCACAAGTTGGCCTGAACTACAGAATGCCATAGGAGAGGAGATGGGTACTGCTAAATAATCCCAATTGCTCTAAGAGATGTTGTTATAAAATAAAATAAGACATATCTCGGCTAATTTGCAGACAAATACTCAAAAACGAGAACCGGATGTAAACGGGACAAAGCCCCGTCACAAAATGACCATTATCTTTCTTCACAAATGTTCCCGACATACGTGTTCTGGTCGAAAAATAAAATAATATTTAAAGTGCTCTTTTTTTTGTCCAATAAAAATGCTTCCCTCCTAATTATACTCGCTTCGTTTTTTGAGCCTGTTAAGCCATAAAAAAAACACTATAAAAGGGGTCACACGGAAGTTCAACGGCAGTCCACAGGTGGCCGCAAAACAGACCGTCATGGTCAGGCCGAGCGATCAACAGCAGGAGAGCATCAACCACCGTCAACATGTGTGAACTACTATGAGAGATCGACCTAGATCCGAAGCCGGCTTATGAACTTTACCACAAGGTAGCTGTCCCAAACCCACACGTTCCTGTTGAAATAAACCACATAAATCTATTTCTGCTGTTGCCGTATTTCTTTCTTGCAACCATACGCTTGTCTATAACACTGGTGTCAGAAGCGTACAGCAAGAGAAATATGGCCGACTACACGAGCTTCACCCGAGCCGAACTATTTATTCTCATCAAGGAACAGAAAACACTACTATTCAACTTGAAAACGGGACCAACACAGCCTTCCGATGTCACGATACAGGAAATTCAAGCCGACATAAACGACATACTGACTGCCCTAAAATCAACTGCTTCAACACCTCCCACCGCTCAAACAAACGGCGATTACAGCTTAATGATGCGCCAACAAACTATACGCGACACATTGAAGCTAGAGAAAACTTTTCACCCTGGACACGACGTGAACCGATTCATCACGGCCCTAATCAAAGCATACACAATCCACGTCACACCAGAACTCAGCACCTATCCCAGCCTGGAATGCGAATTCGTCAAGTCTGCTAAAGATTTACTGGACCAAAGTATTTTTCAGCAGATGGTTGACTCAAAAAAGGACATATCCACCTTCGAACAACTGAAGGAATACTTATTAGCAGCCCACGGAAGCCAGATGACTAACTTCCAACACCTCAGTCAAGTCTGGGACCTGGAACGGCGAGACAGCGAAAAATTAACAGACTTCGCGGGTCGACTCAAAAACACCTTTAGAGAGGCAGCCGTCCACATAAAAAACAAATACAAAAAAGACAAAAATACAGACTTAACAGTCGATGGACTTATTTCCATCATCAGCGCTATGCTAATGAATGAAAAGGTGAAAATTTGGAACTCAAATCTCTACCCACATCTCGTCAAGACAATGGACAACCACTATTCAGCCATTGGCATAGCCTCCGAAGCTCAAATATACCTTGATCGCGGTGTAAAATCCAACGACACAACTTCGCACGACACTGTGTATTTCACACAGAAACCACAGCGGTCAAACCAAAGAAACACGCCACTCCGACTCAGCAGGCAACCAAACCCACAAGCGCGTCACCAACGCATTCTTCGCCTATCACTCCACCACCACCATCCCCACTGAGAGAATCTGCAACCACCTCGGCATCACAGATGAACAACTGAAGGACGATGCCCTGGCAAAGATCATCAGCGCCCTCCAGTCACCCACCCCAAGCGAACCTCATATCAATCCTGACGACCACCGAGCTACGCTTTTCAAAAAACATTTCCACCAATTTTTTCTAGAACCAGGCACCTCCGTTTTGATGATAAGAGATAGTAAACACTCTCCGAGATTGGTTGTACCATACAAACTATGACCCAGATACCTCTACCAGGCACACGAGGGCAACAACCACTCAGGTGTTACCCGTATGCGAGAACTCCTTTCCAGCTACTGGTGGGAATTCAAAAACTGCGACATCAAGGCCTATGTCGATTCTTGCGACACGTGTGCTAAGTACAAGGGCAAATACGGTAGACGTGCCCATTGGCCACTGCAAACGAGGAAAGAGACCATTCGATCTCGTCTTTATAGACTTTGTCACAATGCCCAACTCAAAGGGAAAACGCTACATCCTAACCATCTTGGATAGCTTCAGCCGACATTTTACAGCCATACCATGCGCCGAGAGACCCGTGCTATCAACGCTGCACGCGGATTGTACCATTTCTTCCTTCCACAGAGAGATTCACGCATAGTATCCTCTGATCGAGGCACACACTTCACTGGAGAAGTCTATCGACAATTCTGTAACCAGATGTCAATCACGCAAGAACTTCACTGTCCTTGGCACCCACAAAGCTCAGGAAATATCGAGAGGCAACATCGCACGATGGAGAACGCACTTTATATGTTATGCGAAGACAGGAACTGTGAATGGACAGACGTTCTAGAACCTGTCGTTTGGTCCATGAATGCCACGACCAACAGCTGCCACCGGTGTCTCCCGCAAGACTATGCCATTACCGGCCGTCACCCCAACATCGGCCTACCTACACTACACAGAAAAGAAATCACAAGTGACGATCCTGGAGCATATGGAATGCAAATTAATGCCCTGCTAAAGCAGGTTCACCACCACGTCACCCTGGCCAACGATGAAGCTGACCACAAACTTGAGACTAACTTAAATCGCCTCACATACAAGGACCCAATACAAGTAGGCGACAAGGTTTTACTTCATCAGCCACACTCAACTGTTGCCCAATCCTCTCATCTGCCCTGGATAGGAAATTACACCATTATAAAAACGAACAATATGATGTGTCAGGTGCAAAACGATGATGACGATACAATCTGGATTCACCGTGCACATATCCGACGACTGGCTCCATGCTCAACACATCTTTCTAATACAATCCCTCTGCCTCCACTGTGTAACAGTCACCAGGATCATTCTCCTCCACATCCCTCGGGGACGCATAATTCAGCAAATAATTCCATACCAAAACAAATGCCAATAAGAAGAACACGAGGACAACTTCCCACACGCTTCAGAGACTTTATCATGAATTAATCACCCAAATATACACGAATAACACTCACTGTAAATGAGACCGAGATCTGGGGGAGCCTTGTTATAAAATAAAATAAGACATATCTCGGCTGATTTACAGGCAAATACTCAAGAGCGAGAACCAGATGTAAATGGGACAAAGCCCTGTTACAAAACAACCATTATCTTTCTTTACAAAATGTTCCTGACACACGTGTTCCGGTCGAAAAATAAAATAATATTTAAAGTGCTCTATTTTTTGTCCAATAAAAATGCTTCCCTCCTAATTATACTCGCTTCGTTTTTCGGGCCTGTTAAGCCATAAAAAAACACTATAAAAGGGGTCACACGGAAGTTCAACGGCAGTCCACAGGTAGCTGCAAAACAGACCTGTCACGGTCAGGCCGAGCGATCAGCAGCAGGAGAGCATCAACCACTGTCAACATGTGTGAACTACTATGAGAGATCGACCTAGATCCGAAACCAGCTTATGAACTTTATCACAAGGTAGCTGTCCCAAACCCACACGTTCATGTTGAAATAAACCACATAAATCTATTTCTGCTGTTGTCGTATTTCTTTCTTGCAACCATATGCTTGTCTATAACAATGTCAAAGAGGAATTATTCAGAATGATACCCCAACAATCTAATGGGTTATGGTGAAATGAGTTGAAACTTCAGAGAAACAATACATTTGAAAATTGCAAACAGTATTAAAATCTTTAGAGTTGTTGATCTGATTGAATTTTAGTGTGGGAATTTTATTTCCTACCTATTAACTAATTTACGAATATATATTTTTAGTTCCATTTGAAAGCCCAATACACTTTTCTAGTAAATACCAACCTGTACAACTGATGTTTATTGTTCTCTCTTGATGTGTTCGAGGTGGTTGTTTCCCTTCTTTTTTCATCTTTATTCGTAATTCATCAGGGGATAATTTCTGGTCATTTCGAATTTTGTCAAAATTGGGTAAGTCCACCTGACAAAAAAAATAAAAGAAAAAAAAAAAGGGAAGTAAAAACATTAACCTCTTTCAAAACAGACTAGGCAGACAAACACAATATAGATAGGGATTTTTATTGCATTTGGTTTCTCTGGAAATGACAAAATTATATATTCATGAGTAAAAATGTCCCCACCATAATCCAACTAGAATATATATATATATATATATATATATATATATATATATATATATATATATAGGAAGGTTAACGTCTGCTGATATCTCACAAATTAAATTTGAGTTAAAACTGGAATAAATTAACCTTGAAAAGGGGTTAATCTATATCCCAAAGGTAAGAAGGCATCCAAAATTCCTTCATAAATTGGACATTTTCCTTTTTGATTATCATAAATTAGATATCTTTGAAATTCTTTGCTGGGTAGAAGCTAAAAATAGTGAAAGTGACTGATGTTTTTGTTATATTAATAATTAAATGTGTTGGCCAGTATTAAACACATGCAAACAATGTTTTGTTTTTTCTTTTATCATCTCTAACAAATAGTCAAATTAAAAGAATAGCATTGTCTTTATACACATGGATAACAATAAACAGAAAAGTTATATAGAAAACCCAGCTATTGATATTTGATGGAAACCAAATTTAAAATGGGTTTTTAGAATAATCATTGGCTTTATTCATAACAAAACAAAAAGAAATGGAATACAAAAAATAGACAAAACAGGAAAGAGAGAGAGAGAGAGACAGAAATCTATTAATATAATAGTGCAGCGAAATATGAAATAACTACAATGGATATTATCTGGAATTTTTTATTAGATGAAGCATTGCTAACCATTGTTAATTTATGATGAATATTTTTTCTATTTAATATTTTCATTGCAACTACTCAGAATGGTGTTCCACAGTCATCAGGGAATAGCAAATAAAGAAAAAGGTCTTAGCAAGAGTTGTACTATTTACAAAATTCTTATTTTGATAACTTGAAAGCGTTCATGCATTTTGTCTTCATTTTTACCACTTCCTATTTCCTCATATTTTAACATTTGCTCTCACTTTGCAATGCTGTAATAAATTCTCAATGGCTATTATTTTAATATTTCAATGTGTATTTTTGTCATGCATCAATAAGTTCACAGTCTGATACATATTTATGAGATGAATGTTGATCTGAAATTTTCACTATATGATGATTGATCTATTCATCAGTGAATTGAATAGACTGACAAGGAAAGCATCTATGTTGAAAAGTAAATATTTGCTGTGTGAAATAAATGCTTTTTAACCTCATCTATATACTTTTTGATGTATGATTATGCAAACATCTAAATCTTAAGTTTGAAGCTTATCAAGTAAAAATAGGTAAAAATTAAAAATCATAAATAGTTTCAAGCTTAAAAAACGTGATTACCTTGAGGAATTTTTTTGCTCTTTCTTTTCGAAATTTTGGATTGTAATGTTTTGATGTTGGGTAGAACATAACTTGCTGTTTCCTCAACAGATGAGTCTGAAGACTCCTCTCAAGTAAACCAGTCTGCAAAAAATAAAAATAAAAATGGTAAAACCTTTAGAAAGAAAACTAACAAATATTTGTAATAAGGATAAACAGCTTGTGGTAAGATTTACTGTTTGAAAGAATTCATAAAAATACTAGCTTACTCATACCATAAAAAAGTGTCATGTATTAGCAGCTTGATTGCCCCTATTTACCAATGAGTTATTCCTTTGTTATGATTATACAAGGCATGTTTGCTTATTGACTATCAAGTAATATCATGTGATTTTTGCAGACATCCCCCTTAGAAAAACATGCATTCATTTCTTCTCCCCAGCTATGGGTTAAATAGAAATGTAGTCTTGGGTAGGTAAACAAGTCTAAAAGAATGATACTGGATTCCAAGCTATGGAAAGCAACAAGAAGCAACAAGAAATCATTCCACTATCATTTCCAGGAATTCTTAGAAAAATCACCAGATAATAAAGGAAAAGAAACCGTGGAGAACTGTTATCACCTATGTCCTGAAGGGACATGGTATTAAAAAAAAACCTATGTTACCATAACAAATATCCCATTACTAAAGAAAGGTAAATCAGGTAGTGTGACCAACAAATTTATAATATCAAATTGTTCTGTATTATAAACTTGACAGACTTGTTTCAAAATTTTTAATTCCATCTTTTTCATAGAAAAACAATGATATTCAGGATATACTAACTGGATGTCATTGAAATTCTATAGCTTTTGATAATTAAAATTATCCATTATCTCATGTTCCTGCACATCTCTCATCCTTTCCCTTATCCCTTTCAATGTTGACATCATGGTTTTTTTTATCTAAATACTATACAAACAAATGACTTTCATATGGTAAAAAAGAAATAAGCAATGTACAAATATTTTCCCTTCCATTCTCTCTTTTGATTTTCTTTTTCTTTATATCTACATAAAGAATTTCAGTGTATCCCAATTTTCTTCACTCTTCCATCCCTAGCAACCTTTTACTCGTGCAGGTCATTGTCTTATGATTTCCCCATTTCTCTCTCTTTATGTTTTTTTTATTTTTATTTTCATTCCTTCTCTCTCCACATAAGGAAGAGGGTTCCAAAAGTGTCCAGACTGAATATGATCCCTTTTACAGTGAATCTAAAATAGCATTTTATTTGAATGCTTTAATTATTTATTACTTATATAGTACCTTTATATTTTTTTTAGAAAATTGAACTGTTTTACTGTACCAATTATGCTCCCAATGTTTTCTTGTACGTTCCATTTCTGAAGTAAAACAAAAAAAATGTTGAAGCAACTGATAATGGCCAACAAAAATCAGAATCATATTTCAAAGAATGGTGACATTCTTGAATTTGGGATTCTGGAACAGATTGCAATGCAAGAAATCTATCATTGCATCTACCATAGGAGACCACCCTTCATATGCAACAGTCAAACTTTAGCTTGCTGAGTGCCATCAAGGGAACCAATTCCTTGAAGATGAACTGCAGTCTAGACTGCCCGTGAAGCAATCTTTGTTAAAAATAATGGTCCTCCCATTATGTCATTACGAATGTTGGGATTTTTCTTTTGTTTTTTTTTTAGCTTTTCTTTTAACTCCTACCTTTCCCTGCTCCTCCTCCATCATTTTTCCAGATTCCCTCCTACTTCATATTTATATATGTTTCTCAGCCAGAAAGTATACTAATTCCAGCTCCAGAAGAGCAAGAGATTGGATAAGTATAAAAGAGTTACAGTCCTGCATACAAACAAGCAGAATAATAACACAGAAAGATTTTAGTTTGTGTTTTTCCCCCCAAACAAATTTTAACCTGTTCACAACTACACACATTTTCATTATAACACCAGTATTAGATTTTTATTGTAAAAAAATGTTTAAAAGTTTTATTTCCATACAAATCATAGCAAATAATGTACAACAGAATGTCTACTAAATGGAATATACACATGTGCACAATCCCATATCTGAAATCCTTGTTTCGAGTTTCCATTTTTTCAGTTTTCAGAAATTCAAACAATATTGCAGCAAAATGTATGAATATTCACACCATAGGAGATAAAAAAAGACTACAAATATGATTACAACTTATTTATAGAGTAATATACTGATAAATCAAAAAGAGGGATAATTAAAACCATAAGTAATGTATATATTTTATTTATTTTGGACAAAAAATAACTTGTATAACTCAAAAAATGAGCAGCATCAAACAATAAAGTAAAAATAAGTTGCACTCTTGCCTCTCTTTGTCACTCACTAAAATATATGTTTGCTTTGTTTTACGGCATATCAACCTCAATGGGTTATTTAATACCGACAATTTTTATTGCTGGTAATATTTTTTTTTCAAAAAATGTATTGCTGGTAATAATTTTTTCCTCAAAAATTTATTGCTGGTAATTAATTTACAAAGTTTTTCTGGTATTAAAACCTATTTTTACACTTTCATGGTGTTTTGACACCAGTTTGAGGGTTAACTGTTTGCCCATAGGTAACAGGTGCATGGTCCAGGAACAAGATGAAGTATCACTACAACTGACTGCCGTTTTAAGGACTTCTTCAAGTGTCATCTGTCTCAATAACATAGGTTTCTGTCCTAGCAGTCTCTCTTTAATTGAGTAAACTGCCATAATTTCTTGCTCATTGATAAATGAACGTTTTTCAATTGTGTGATCAATTAATTGATCACACAATTTTCCATCAACTAATGACATTTTTTCACCCATGTTCACTATGCTGTCATCATCATCATCACTAGTGTCTTCATTGTTACATTTAACACCATTTCAGCAATTTCCCCATCACTCAAAGAATGCCCAACAGATTCATCATTGTCAATGTTCAGCAACTCTTCAATATCATCTTCATCTAGCTTATTTAAACTTTTACCTGATAAACTTTTAGCATAAGTTACAAGGTTTGATATCATCTTCTCATTAGTGACACATAATTCCTTCAAAGTCTTGATCTGTAGGATCATCATCACAAAACATTGTTAGAGATCAGAGTTTGTGCCAAGCATTTGTTACTGCATAAATGGTATTCTTATCATTGAACTCTTTCAAGAAGTTTTGTATTCCTACTCCCCTGTTGATAGCAGCAAGCATGCAATTCATAAAACAGTCTTTATACTTGCTCTTCAGGGGGCATAAAATTCCTTGGTTACAAAGCTGTAATACATTGGGAAGCAAGTAAATGCTGAAAATATTAATTTTCATAAGACATACATCAGTGGGATGCACAGAGCAATTGTCCAAGAATAAAAAAAATTTAATTTTCTTCTAGTACAGCTTTTGTCTGCAATGTGCTCTAGCTGTTAGTACGAAGTGGTTATTGAACCAGTCAGAAAACATTGTTTGAGCTACCCATACTTTCTTGTTTGCATAACAATGTACAGGTAAATTGTGTAGATCTTTCAGACATCTTGGACATTGACTTTTTCCAATCACTACCAACTTTACCTTGTGTATTCCTGCTGTATTGGCATATCCAAGAACAGTTAACCTGTCTTTAGCATCCTTAAAACTTGTTGGTGCTTTCTCATCAGCTGTTGTTAATGCTTTCCTTGGAACATAACACCAGTACAAAGCTGTTTCATCAGTATTGTAAATTTGTTCAGGACTAAGGTTTTCATCAGATATTTTCTTGGCAAATTTGTCAATGTAATTTTCAGTTGCCTGATCAGCAGGAACTTTTTCACCACAGATTTTTGAGGTATTTTATACCATGACACCTCTCAAATTTCTGAAGCCAATCTTCTGTATAATTGATGCTCACCTTCAATTCTTCAGGTTATATTCTAGCTTGTTTCATAACCAACAAACCAGTTAGTGGCATACATTCACATCTTTGTTGTTGAATCCATTCAATTAACACACCATCAAGATCTTAATTTTTTGCTGTATTTAGTTTTTTTTTTTTTTTTACTATTGTTCATTAGTTAATGGTCATCACTTTCACTATAAAATGTTAGTAACTTGCCTTTCAATTTCATACAGAGGTTTTTTTGACACCAAATTCCTCAGTCAGATGCAGCACAGGAACGCCACGATCAAGTGTCTGCAAAAGCACTACTTTTTGTGTTATTGATAAAAAGAGATGCTAACTTTTCTTTTTCTCTTTTCTAAAGATATCTTCAGTTTTTTTTTTTTTTTTACATTTTCACTGTATAAAGTCACAAAAATTATGAAAAGAAAAAAAAAATCTGAACAGCACACTCACATCTACGCACTTGACAACAACTAATGTTTGGCGGACTCAGGTTGCTCAGCCAGGCTGGGAAAGTGGTGAGTAGAGCTGAGCCAATTATGACACCCATTGCCACATCATACCTAAGTAGTGTGGGTCAAGTAGGTAAGCTTTTTGTGCACCAAACTCAACACTAAAAATATTTGGTTTTTACTTTTCAGAGGTTCAGATATGGGATTGTCAAGCTGTATACCAAAATATGTTAAAAATAGTTTAATTAGTTAAACAAATAGGAAAAATCTTCTTGTTATATTTATATAAAAACACTTTTCCAAAAATAATTGTTTTAAAATTTATTTTTCTGAACTAAGCAACTGATACAAAAACATTTAATTTTAATTTAACATTTCATAATCTTCAAGTTCTACATTAATTTTTTTTAAGTTAAATTTACTGATTGATTTTAAATGATAATTATAGTTTAGGAATTTCTTCAGAAGGCATTTCAGATTATTCTGTAGCTAACAGAATGTAGAAGCTTAAAAAGGAATTGATTTTATTTTCAAATCAAAACTATTCCAATATTTTAAAGCTAAAATGAATACCATCATGGTGATTATAGATAAGTAAACAATTATAGAAGTGAAATTTGTCTGGTTCTTAAAAGGAGAAATAAAATGGAACAACTGTTATCAAATAGATAATTCAATTTTTATAAATTTGCTTGACATCATACATTTTAGTTTTGTATATGTGATTAAAAAAGTTAAAAACTTTAAAGACCACTATTTTTTAAAATTATATTCCTTTCCATTATGAATAAAAATCATAAAAT